GGGGGGGGGGACAACGCTGAATATCGGCATGCTGGGCACGTAAGGCGTCGTTGATGTATCCTTTGAGAGGTCCACTGGACGACCTGGAATCATCCAGGCTTTTTGATGTCGGATTGGCCCGCATGGGAAGGGTGTCCAAGGCATGACATACTGTATAATTGTATTGCTTTGCGGAAGAATCTGAACCTCGACGCTTTTTATTCTGCTCTTCCATTCAGGGCATCGAAATTTGTGTGGACACGCTCTTCCAGGATGAAACAGCGCGCCTAGGGGAGATGGAGAGAGTCACTGCTGCTATTGAAGAAGGGATCAATGCGGGAAAGCATGTCGTTATTTTCACGAGCCGTCAGGTGGGTTATGATCTCATCCTTCTTTTTTAAAATATCATTATTATTAGGCTTAGCGCTAGGTTCCTTTCTCATTATACCTTTCTTTCAATTTATTAAAAATCAGCTTCGTCAAGAAGACGGTGCAGGTGGTCTCATCTCAGGGATGAAGGTGTCTGACTCTGTCGTCGAGATTGTTAAAAACTTGCGCACAAGGTGAGAGACGCGGAGGAAATGGGAGCAGATGGAATATGACTGTAGGGTCATGCGCGTATGGAGACATGAAAACCTAAGGAGAAGCAAAAGGAACTTGCAGTACAAGGGAAACAAGGAAGTCCGTTTGTCTATCTCTCGATAGCAATGCTAGCGCCTAGGATGCACTAATTCCCTATGTCCTGCTCCTGCGCTCAGTGTATGTAAGAGAGACTTTACACCATCATTTGTCGTTGATCAGGAACTCGCTATGGCGGGCAAGGGCGTCAGAGGGATGTCATGCCTATCGATAATAAATGCCAAGTGTTACATTATTCCTAGACCCCCATTGTCATTCTGTACGTCTTCTCACATTGTCTGATGATCTGTCTGTGCATCAGACCCCTTTTTCTCATTGCCAAAGGAGGGATTACATCAAATGACGTGGCGGTCAAGGGCCTGGGTCTCAAGAGGGCCATGGTGCTTGGACCAATTCTACCCGGTGTTCCTGTGTGGGAATGCGGAGAAGAGAGCAAGTTTCCGGGTATGAAGGTACGAAGTGACGCACAGAAACTGATTCGTGCGCGTGCCTATGTGTCTTTGCTTACCGAGTGACGATCAAATGCTTTTCGTTCACTTATACGTCTCTTCTCTTTTCTATTTCCAAGTACGTCGTCTTTCCTGGCAACGTGGGCTCTTCGCAAGCGCTGTTTGAGGCAGCTCAAAAACTATGCTTCCCTCCCTCCACTTCTACGCCTCCATCATCCGACTCCAAGACCTCTTTAGCTTCGTGTGTCACTCCCACACGTCCCGTTTTCGCCTCGTCCTCCCGCACTCTCGATCTCCTGGAGGCTGCGCGTGCGAAAGGAGAGGCCGTCGGGGCTTTCAATGTTTATAACCTTGAAGGAGTCAGAGCCGTTGTTCGTGCCGCGGCGGCAACGAACAGCTCAGCGATTTTGCAAGTCCATCCATCATCACTCGAATTCGGTGGACAGCCTCTCCTGGAGCTCTGTCGCGCCGGGCGGTTCTTTGTGGAAGAAATGGGAACAATGAGAGGTTCCAAGGAGAAGGATACGATCGCAGTGCACCTCGACCATGCGAATGAGGCAGCCGTCATAGAGCAAGTTCTGGTGAGTGGCATTAAATGACACATGTTAATCATGCGTACAAGCTTACACCGACTCTTCTGGCTATAAATCCACAAGAATCGAATCGACTCCCGTGAAGTTTAATATGCCAGAGTAATTTCTCTTTCAGTCACCCATATTTTGCGTCAACACTCCACCGTTACGATGCAGGCAACTCAGCTGGTTGACTCTGTTATGTGCGATGGGTCGGCGAAACCTTATGAGGAAAATGTTTCATGGACCGCACAGATGACACGACTAGCACACAGTAAGGGCATTCCTGTAGAGGCAGAGCTGGGTCGCTTGGCCGGGGAGGAAGACGGACTGAGCGTCCAGGAAAAAGAAGCAAAAATGACTGATCCTCTCCAGGTCCGAGATTTTGTGGAACAGACAGACATAGATATGGTGGCGGTGACAATCGGAAACGTTCATGGTCGATATGCGACGAATCCGCCGGTACTCGACTTGGCCCGGCTGGCAGATATACGGGCGGCTACGGATCGATTGCTTGTCTTACATGGAGCGTCCGGGCTTCCTCCAAAAGTGGTGCATGCAACCATCGCCATTGGTGCGATCTGCAAGTTTAACGTGAACACCGAGGTCAGGGAGGCAGCTATGCAGGTGATTCGCGAGGGTAAAGCCAAGGACGTGTTACCATTAATGCAAACGACTGGCGAAGCTATGCAACGCGTGATTGAGAACAAAATGAGACTGTTCAAAGCGTCGCCGTCAATATAGTAACAGAATAGAATAAAATGTGTTCCAGTATAGCTTCGTGCTCCATCAGGTAGGCTTCTTTCTTCTTTAGTTGATATATTTAGCTGACTTGAAGCTGAGACAATGCCTGATCCGGTCGAATCCCTTTAAACGTTGAACAGACATTCTATAATAGTCATATAGAACTGTATCATGTATTTCCACATTTGGGTTGCATTCTTCTATCCTGTAACCTTAACTTATAGGGGCATGGCCTCTATGAGCTTTCACTTTTGCATTTTTCATAGAGAGTAAAACCGCGTTCTACTGTCCCTCCTTTTTACAGGCTTGCGATAAAAAGTATTACAAATAGTTCTAAGATACAGCCGCGTTGCACAGCTAGATTTTATAACACATCCCGGGGACAAGAAGGAACAATGATTTTTAGCCTCGTTCCGAATTTCATTGCCTTCCATCAATCCTTATATCAATAATACGACAAAGCTCCATTACTGGAGCAGGAGCCACGAGAAATTTACTGTTTGACCCGCAATGGGACCATTAATGTTGTTTTGATAATAAGTTGATGCCACGGAAGCTTGCAATGACTAGAAACGCTAACTCGGCTCATTTTTAACATATTAATTTTAGAAGTGAACCGAAATTCTGCTTAAACTGATCATGAACACGGATTTGTAATTCGGAAATTGGAATGATTCGCGGCGTCGTTTCGCTTATCGGTGAGGAACCGTCATATCGACATTGAAAAATCAATCTTCATGCTCCCGAAATCAGTATCACCTTATTCATCATCAAAAATGTCAGAGAGTCTCTGAATGTGACTATACGTTCTGTGTGGCTCGCAGTCCTCGCTGTGCTGCAAATTCTCGGTCAGGATCAGAGCACGACCCCGAAACCGTTGCCATCTATAAAATAAGCGGGCCTCACACGGTACGCCCGTTAATGCAAACGGTTTTACCTACTGTGCAGGTTTTTAGAGATCTGCCTGCTCTAAATCGCATGAAGGATAACACAACAACAATTAATAGCTCATCACAGTAAGAAAGAAACTTATTTACACTTGTGTGAAGAAGAACAGTTACCACGGCCTGCGCTGACTATATGGATTGAAAGGTGGCTGCCCAGTGCCAGCCACTACCATACGTGTATACTCGAATGTCACGACATTGTGTTGTGTGCTAAGACTTCTTTCATTGCAATTTCCTATATCCTTGCGCGACAACAAATGTATAGTGTGATACCTCCAGAAAGCTCATCAGACTTCCGTTGCTACATCTTCTGTTTCTCTCCTCCTCGTGCTACAGCGGTCGATCTCTTATCGCAAAGTCCTTGATTGATGCAGTACTCTTCTGTTACCCTTGTCATCATACAGCTTGTCCTCGGTATCCTCGTCTTATGCCTTTCTCAGCTGAGCACCGCTAGTATCCAACTTACGGCTTCCCAGCAATGTCCGCGCCTAGCGATACGTGCTAAGGCGCATCCCAACACCAAACACGGAGTCTTAGCTGGGAAGGGTAAAGCTCAGATATCCGTAATACTTCGCACTAAAGATCCTATCAGTGACTTAAATTTTAAAATGACCTTGCCAAGCGGGATGTCTGTGAGACGGACAGCGACCCGTCCGTCAATCAAACCTCACATGCCGCCTGAGGTTGTTGGAAACATCGACGGAACCACAGCCCTTTACTGGCTGGACATTGATTTTTCTAGGCGGTCAAAACGCCGCTTTCGAGTCAAGGTTAACATTGATTTGTGCGCTCCTGAGCATCTCGTGGTAGATGCTTTTGCTTACCTGAACAACGCAACTTCCACCTGGTGTGTGACCCCTTTAGCGAGTCCCGCACTCCTGCGCGCGCGATATCCAAAGGAAAAGCCAGCAACTTGCGCTCCAACATTGGCTCCTTCTGTCAATCCTACACAATCTTTCGTTGTCTTTGCCCCGGGACAGCGCTTTTCACAAGGTGGTCAGCTAGCGCCATTTGATAATCGTCGTCTGTCGCTGCATCCTGAAATGAACCTAGCCATAAACCAGGACGTTCTTTCCTTCGGAGACACGTATCATCGTCAATTGCAACCTATTGAGACGAAGGATGACTGTTATGAGTATTGCTCCCTTGTAGGAGGAAAAATTGCGCCGTTCTTCTTCAGCTGGAATAATGCCACAAGCCAGTGTTTCTGCTGTGCAACTGTGTGCACTCCCTTCATATACGATCCTGCATTCGATGTACAAAAGGTGCTCGTTTCTGCTACCAGCGCTCCAACATTTACTCCTGCCCCATCTCCCTCGGATCAAAATCGCCGCCTTTACAATATAACCGCTGTCAGGACAATTTTGGACTATGCTGAAGCATCGTATTCATGCAAAACTAGCGCCTGTGAGGCTTGGAATTGCAGGTACTTCTAGGCTTAAAATGTCTAGCATGAAATAATTCATAAGTCAAGTCAAGGCGTGATACGTCATGGGCACCCCCATATATGCTCATTATACCTCTATTTTTTGTCTGCACGCAGTACTTGCTCCCGACACCCGGACACGGAAGTGAGGCGCATTTCTGCTCCTGACGGGGATGGCTTTGTGGGTTACAACTCAGTCGAAGGTAAGGTGGTCAGCACAGGAAAGATATTTAAGGTGTGAGCTTATTGGGTCGCTCATTGCATGCACGACAATTTCTTACCTTATTTGGGGTCGGCGGGAAAATTTAGGAGCCCTTGTGGTGGCGTTTGCTGGCACGTCCATGGATGACATAGTAGAATGGATGGCCAACTTAGACTTTAAGAAAGAAGATTTTCCTCATGACGGATGTGAGGTAAGGATAAAAGCAGGACTGCAGGAAAGGAGTATGAGGAAATCGAAGATCTGCGATCACAAGATAAATTACTCCGTCAAAGAGATGTTTGCGCGATGGAAACGGACCACGCTGAATCTCAGGAAGGTACTTTCACCTTACATAGCTGCTTGTTGCCTCCCCAATTCTCTACTTTGATCATAGGGTTGTCAGGTTCACACGGGATTCTACACCGCATACTTGGAACTTCGAAGCCAGGTCCGGGAATTTGTGCAATACTTTTTACAGCAACATCCAGACGCACCGATCTGGGTTACAGGTAGGGAAACAAGGCAAGAGTACTTGACTGGCCGAGAAGCATAATAGAGATGAGGAGGAGCCTTCCGGAGACAGAAAAACGGGGATACTGGATCCGAGGTTTCATTCGAGAATCTACCCCATTCCTCATTATCTGATCGCATTCTGCCGATAGGTCATTCCCTCGGAGCAGCCATTGCAGTCCATTGCATGGTCGATCTTATGTCTCTCTCGTACAATGTTCGGCGGGTCGTCAACTTCGGGCAGCCTCGCGTCGGAAACAAACAGGTAAGGATTGAACGATGAACAAGGGAGGACAGCCGGAAATGCGACGTGGTGGAACAGATTGACTTTGTGCTCGCCATCCCCGTCGACGCTTTGACCAGACATCCATGGAATCTTTTCTCACGTTCTCTCACCCCTCAAAGTTCGCTACCTTCGTCGCGTCGCTCGCCGAGTCTCTTGATTTTCCTCTCTACCGGCTCGTGCATCATCGTGATCCGGTGCCTCATCTGCCCCCAAGAGGTACGTTTTGAGGCTTGGTGTGTAAGAGGGGCTGAGACGTACTGAAGGAGAGGGAATGAGTTGTAGCCTTAGTGTAGGCGTGTGCGTGCACCTGGAAAACTAGGAAGCAGAATACGAATCCAGGTGCACTCTCTTTATCTCTTCGCTACCTCACTCCATGTCCCTCTCCGGCCTTCTTCCGCCATCGTCTCAGCTTTTGGTTTTCACCACCAACCCTTCGAGGTCTTCTACAACGAAGACCAAACTTCTTACATCGTTTGCAATGACTCTGGTGAGGACCTTCAGTGCTCGGATCAATTTTTGGTCGACTTGGATGTTGCAGATCATCTGAACTACCTAGGTGCGTCAATTACTGTGCTTTTCATTTGTAGTACTCTCTCGCTTCTGTTACTTTCCCGGTCTTCTTAAAATTAAATTGTGTTTTGCGGAGCTGTTGTTGGAGTTAACTATTTATCTTAAGCCTTCGATTTTTTGTAACTTTCGTCCCCCCAATTTCTTCTTCATCTAGGGGTACCTATGGGATGAGTGAGTACGGAAAACCGTTGTGCTCACCAGATTTTTCGCTTACCGGAACTGACGAAGGGGCACTCTTCAAGCATGCCATCGAGCATGGAAAGTCATTACGGAGAAAGATTGGAACGTGCAATGAATACGATGGGAAGATATTAGAGGTCTCATGGCTTTATCGCACAAAAATTATTGAACATTTAAGATGGTAGGTGCAAAGATATGAGCTGAAGAAAAAGCAGCCCGAATTTTTGAGTATATCTTTGCACCATGCTTTGATGGAATCTGTCTCAAAGAAAGAAAAAACCTTTCAAGTGATGCTAATTTGAGCCCAGTAAGATCACCTTCAGTGAAGGAAATTGATATGCTGGGCTCAGAGTTTTGTGGTTGTTATTTCTAGTCTTCCCTTGTTTCAATAATTTATTTATCCAATTTTGTGGAAACCTGGTTGAACGTAGACTTGACAAACGTTGATACAAGGAGAACAACTCATTCCGATGGACATCCCCCTCTATGGTGACTCCCTTGGAGCAAACCTCGGACTTACCAGCATTCGACCAAAAAATCGAGGCATTTGTAACTCTCCTTCACAGGTTAAACTTGAAAGATATATTACGTACTTCCAAGGCACGGCCATATTGCACAGCCGAATTCCATCACAGGTCCTGGGAAAGTATTACTTTCAACGTTAATCTTGGCTTCATTCCCCTTGTCAATCGTTACACCCGATAATACGATGAAGATTCATAATTGGAGCAGGAATCACGAGAGGTTAACTTATTTTTGAGGGCTACCCAGCAAATAATGTGAGAGGCGCAATTTCTGTACACGCTGATCTGGCACGCTATCCAAAAGACTATGCAAACGAGTCTGGCCTGCAGAGGTCAAAAACCGCCTTCCTGTTACATTTGATGACATCTGCATCCTATTACCCTGCTGAGAATGTCTATCAAATACAGCCCTCCACTTTTTGCTACTCATCCACCTCAATTCTTTAAGCTTGTTTACTGCAATATCTGTGGCAAAGGACAGGAGATATCCCACCACCTCTTCGCGCCGAGCAGGATCCACCAAGTCCTCCATTTTCAGCACTGCATGGTCTCCCTTGGAGATGTGATGCAAACTCATTTCTTTTCTACTCTCCTGCATTTGCTGTTTATCTTCAATTACCTCTAGCCACGTGCAAATCGAGTCCAGCCAAGCCAAAGCCAAATCACGGGCAACAGCCCAACGTCCCATAGATCCGAACGCATTAACCTCCAGTATGCCACTTTCCACCCATTTCTGGAGCTTTGAGCTTCTATAAGGAGTAATCAAACCAAGCGTCCATCGTGGACGAAGCAACAAGCAAGCTTGGATAGAAGGGGAAGAGGCCGTGTAGAAGACACTTGCCAGCGATTCCACAACGGGAGCGACATCACGATACAGAAATAAATGCCTCGAGGTTATATAGGAAGACGATGGAAACTCTGCCAGGGCTAGATCTAGAAGGTAGTGCCCTGAACCTTTCAAATTGAGTGACAAAACATGTGGGATGGAATGCGGCCGGTAAGGAGAAAGAGGTTTCATGGAGGACGGTTGACAATTGCCTGCCCGGCACAGCAAGTGGGCGTCTGTGAAAAGGCAGATCCTAAGAAGGCGGCGGATGGAGGAATCGTCAATCAGCTTTTGTGCCCGAGCTCGGCAAAGTTGCTCGGCCCAATAGGGCTCCGAGAGGGAGCAAAAATTGCAAGCAAGGAGGAGACGGTGGATGAGTGTGGAACCGCATCGACCCGTGTTCCACACCCAAAGTATGACGTCCTTTTTGTTTCCCCCATTTGGATTTTGCTTTTGGCTCCTCTTCAACTTGTTCCGCATCTGCTTTTCCTGTATGTAAGCCTCCACTGTTTCGAAAGACGCTACCAAAACATATTTTCCTGCACAATGCCGCACACCCCGGTCTAGAAAGGGTTCTTCAAGCACGGACGTATTCTCTTTCATCTCCATGAACACCACGCTTTTGGTATAGAAATCGAGGCAATAGATGGCGAAAGACGACACAGAAGAGGAAGAGATCGCATCTGATGCTTTCACTTCCTCATGTGCGTCATGTCCTCCATTTAGTCCTCCGTCAAGAAAAGCACGTAAAGGCTTACAAAGTGAAGTTTGGCTGGTATCATATTCAATGGCTTTTAAGCCTCCCCACCATTCATCATCGTTTCTATAAACCCAGCGTAATGGGTAAAGTGCCGCAAAGCCCGTAGGTAGCGAAGGTGGAAGGCGAAGGGGAGGATTACCACCCAGTGGACGCATGCAAATTCGCACCCAGAAATAAAGTCCCACGAATACAATAGGAACCACTAACCAATAGAAATAGCTACTGCACTGACGCACGGTGAAATAAGTGGATAATACGTAAAACACCATTGATGGCAAATATCAGCTGTGGTGCGTGCTTTCTTCCTGTGTGGACGCGTTTAAGGTGATAAATAAAGTGTCAAGGCGCAATGTCGATATTCAAAGGCGCCATAAATCGTAGATAAAGTACACGCATCGTCTGACAGGTCCCACAACAAGAAGGACTGGAACACGGTATAGCTCAAAATTTTCACGGGGATCGTGTGGAAATTGGCAGTTGACGGCTCGAAGATCGAAGATCGACGCTTGCTGGCACGGTCAGGGTGCTTGAGGAGGCTCTTGAAGCGGGTCTGATCGGATAAGACAGAAAATAATTCATGTAAACACCAGACCGCGTGCTTGGAGGCACAGGTATCCCTATCTGAACTATACTCAGCAAAATGATTGCATCAGGAGGTTAGGGACTGCATAAGCCCTTCATCCTTTCAATGTCTACTCTGCGAAGTCTCATCACTTGCTGATCTTTTACCTCCTCTCATCATAAAGCTGTACTTTTGCCGGACATTTAAGAGTTACAAATCGCCTGACGCACGTGTCCCTACACTATCACAATTTCTCATATTTCAATAAAAAGGAAACAGTTTTTGTTTTCAAAATGAATCCGATACACTTTCTTCTCTTCCTCATTGTCATCGCCTCAACGACTGCCTTTCATACGGCTCCATGGGCATCTCCCTCCTCCACCGCCTCCCTTCTGCCACTTCACCGGCAATACAAACAAAACGAGCAAAGGCCTCAATCTGCTCTGACGCGCCTGGCAACGATACGAGGAGGAGTGTCGGGGAAAGTGAGAACTCACATGATAGAGGAGGGCGAGAAAGGGAAAAAAGACAACTTCTCTCACTTTCTTGTGATATTACCTGTAGGAGCAACGTAGTGCATGTAGTCCTCAAGTAGAGGACCACAAAGTATGTTTCTGAAGTAGGTTCGAGGATCTGCAGCCTTGCTGATCGTCTCTTTTCCGTCTTGTTCTTTCTGGACGGTCCTTGCGACAGGTGTCGGAAGTACGCACGTTGGAGGAGACGGAGGAAGCATTGAATGGAGCAGGGAGCAAGCTGGTTGTCTTGGATTTTACGGCGACGTGGTAAGTCAGGGAAAAGGAAACGCTGTATGGAAAGGCGGGAAAGAGGGCGAAGAAGGAGGAATCTCTGCCTCGGGGTTTTTTAGCATGACATCGCAAGGGATTCAATGCGCGGTTCACAGCGTCGAGGTGTAAAGACATCGCCTCCTCTACTTTTTCCAATGTACGTTTTAATCCCAATCCATTACTTGTCTGCAGGTGTGGCCCGTGTAAGCTCATCTCTCCTGTCTTCGAGGGTCTCTCAGAGGAGATCTCTGAGAACGAGGCCGTCTTCTTGAAGGTGGACGTTGACGTGAACGAGGTGAGAAGCCGGAGAGAAGTTGGGTGGGCGTAAAAGCAAGGACAGTCGGGCTGGGAGGAAATGGACCCCTCGGTGGATCGACATGATCCGCCTCCCTCACCCTCCTCTCTCTTCCTCTCCGACTGCTCCCATCACCCATCAGGAGACAGCAAAGAAATTCGAGGTGTCACAAATGCCGGTATGTTGTCGGTTCGACGGGCGCTCTCGATCAGAGACATGCCTGATGAAATAGTGCCACAGTCAAAAGATTGATTTTGTCTACCCTTCAATTCAGCTATTCAAATCACCCCATGATGCCCCATCTATTCCTCTTTAGACATTCATCTTCGTCAAAAATTCGGAAGTGAAAGGCCGACTGGTCGGTGCCAATCCAGACAAGCTTCGAGAGGCCGTCTTCCGCCTTCTGTAGGGAAGAGAAGAGTGAGGAAACGACATGTGGCTTTTCTCCTAACAAAGTGGAGAAGGAAAATTGGACAGGGTGGTTTAGGCCTGCACTTTTCATCGCTAAGCGAAGCGAAGGTGTGTACGAAAGTAAAACCATTTCGACCAACACGTCTTATTTAAAAAAAAAGGTTTCATTGGTTATGATGAATGGAACCTGCATCGAACAAACAGCTATTGATGCACATAACGCCGGATGAAGAAGATGGAGTACCACTTATACGGGGTGCAATATTTCTCAAACCTTTATTTCAATGGCGTGCGAAGCACTTTCATCAAAGCTGAACTAAACGAAATTGCATTCTACCAAAGCGCTTCAAACTTTTCGAAATTTGAATTGATGTGTACTTTTCTTTGAGCATCGCAATTTTTTTTGACTGGTTCTCTTTATGAAATGTCCGCTTGTATTGTTCATGATGTTGGAGGAGAATTATCGGGGCAATATGCAGAGTGAAATGCAGTCGAAAAAATGAATGCGAAGAAAAAGTTTCGCCCTTTTGCTAATTTTGCTGTGATTTAATTTAGAGGGGAAGCTTGTCAAGTCTGTCAGTTTTCACGCTGGCGCTGTGTCTTTGATTTTCATGAAGTATAATCACACCTAAGACCATGCACATCATCACATCATCAGTGAAAGACCCGCTTTCCGTTAGGCTTCGAATGCGACCGGTTCCTTTCAAATTTCAAAAATCTGAGCGAAGTCGGGAATTTTTTACCACGCGTTTTTAGCTGACCTAAATTCCCGCTTTCTCGCTGTTGACAGAAGCACTTTCGAAAGCTCTGTGCATACTACTGAATACACAAACTTGCTCGTCGGTTTTCCAACGCGATTATGGCTCTGTTCAGTTCTGCTGGCATTTGCAGAATCAGCAGGTTGTAGGAGTAATTGGAAAATGCCCGCCCTGTCTTGTGGAGAACAATAATGCGAAGACGTTCTTTTACGTTCTCCGCACGTTCAAAAGTGATACATCTGTTTGAATCATGGCTGTGTGTATGTAGGTAGGATAGTACCACTCTTTCCTGCCTCTGGAATGTGCTTCGTGGCGATTGATCGATGGCGAACGGCGGCATTTATCCGCGCGTTTCATGCGCGGTTGTCATGCCTTCCGAGCTTTCTTTCTCACACAATCGATAATTGCCTCCATTAATTTGGTAGATTTTTCGTGAAAATTTTAGCTTGTTGACCATTGTGCTGAGAGAAGTGTCATTTCACATGTTTGACTCGCGTAGGTGCATCTACGGGGGAGCACCACCTCGCGGAAGAGTGGTGTTGTCCCAGGACTGCATCTACGCGAGGCAAACATGTGGAAGACCCGTCTCTGTGCATGTGAATAATTAACACCATCAAAAAGAAATCTACTAACGCTCTTTCGGAGCTCCCTTTGTAGCCCCTTCAACTCTGAATACACGCAGGAATCGAATAAGCAAGCGACGCCCGGGTAATCAGAGTCATCATATGGACGCTACAGAAGACAGATTTCATGTCATTTGCGGAGAGCACGGGGTGTTTCAGATCGGCTCAAAGGTAGTGGGATCCTTTTCGGTGCCCGATTCATACAATGCGCGCTGTACGTAGATATGGTAGTCATGTCCCATCCGTGGTAAGGATGAGTCACCACGTCCACGCGCGATTTCGCGGAGCAAATCGTAATGCGACGAAACCATTTGAATAATGCAGACCTCACACGACACGTTAGGAGAAGTCAAGAGCGAACTAGTGCAAGGCAGGGTGTGACAGGTTGCGTGCACCAGGAAAAAGAAAGCTGTTTCTGGCCAGGAACTACATGGTGGGAATCATGTTGCTGATTATTGTTTGTTCGCTTTGTCTTATAAGCTACTTGCGTGGCTCTTTCTCACCCACTGCCTCTCATAAATATTTGACGCTTGTAAGGGAGCGAAACGCAAATCATTCGCTTCAAGTTTGCAGCACAGCGCTCATCTTCATGAGGGAAGTAGCAGAGTTATCATAACGAAGCACATTCAATAGCAGTCTCCAGCCTCCCATATGGAAATGGTGGGCGTCCACCCTTCTCTTTGTTTGGTTTAGTTCGGGTTCTGATTCCGTCCCCCGACCTTGACGCCCTTCCCATCTTTCAACTTCTTGGTCACCACCAGGCTTTTGTCTTCGATGCCTCCCTCCACATGCTATGGCGTCTGCACAGCCAGCTTCATGAGGTGCTCCATAAAGACGCGCAATGAGACGTCGTCCGTCAACATGGCTTGGCCCATGCCTACTTCTCCCTATGAAAAGAGAAAAACCCAGGGGAAGGTCACCAGGGACCAAGAGGATGAGGGGGTAAAAGCACAGCCTTTTCACAGGATCAGGGAACTGTACTCAGCCCGCTATCTCATATTATCCTACTCGTATGGGATACTTCATTTCTAAACTTCTTCACTTTGCTTCAACTTTCCTGCTCCTTCCCTCCCTCCCAATCGTCCGCCTCTCAACATCATTTACCGTGTGATGCGTGATGGATGGGTTTAGCTTTGCCATGAGGAAACGCGCCTGCGACTTATGCTGATCGCAGACAATAAAACTGCAGAAGAAAGAGACGAGGAGAAAGGAGCAAGATGTGACATAAACGTCACGCGCTTTCTGACTCCCAACCTGCCACCGTTTATGGAGCTTCGCTGGATTTGGATCTACAGCTCACTCGAAGAGGGCGTACGCAAGGAAGAGGTTAGAGGAAGAGAGAAGAGGGAGAGACAAACATACCGTGGAACCGGAAATCGGCTGGTCATTGTCATCTGAGCATCGAGCTGAGGAGAATCTAGCAGATTCTTGAAGTTGACGTGCTCCTCACTGTTTTGATAGCTGACATTTGAAAAAAAGGACGCATGAGATAAAGAATGGTCCAGAAAGCTTGTCTTCTTCGCGCTTCGGTTCTCCCCCTTTCTTTCCCGTCACCCTCTGCTTCCCTCCTTCCTACCCGGCAGCCCGCCAAGCTGCGACTGTTTCTCCGTGGAAAACCACCACGTGGAAAAAGGTATCGAGGAGGAGGATACAGTCGGGACGAATGCTGGTCGCGTCGAGCATGACAGGTTGAGGCGGCGCTGAAGGGAAAAGAAGAAAAAGAAAATAGAAGCATGAGTGAAGTTTCTTCTGGGAATGAAATGGTTCACTCAAGCCTGACAATGTCTTGGTCTCGCCCGCTGCCCCTCCCTCGTCTCCTCGGTGCCTCCGCTTCTCCCCCATTCCCAGTCACCAACCCGACCTGAAAAGCTGTAGGAGAGGAGCGAGGGCTGGATCATAACCAACGAATTGGTTACATTCTCACGGATGAGGATCGTGCTTAGGGAGGGAGGGAAGGACATAGGGGATGAAGGGAAAGGGGACAGTGAGACGGTTGTTGTTCAATCTTCAGAGGGTGACAAGAAGATGAAGAGGGAGGGGGAGCGCCAACCGATAGTAGCTCGACTCGTCCGGCGAAGAGTTGAAGAGTTGCAGAAACTGGGATCTCCGGAGGTGGAACTGGAAAGGGAAGAACAGCGAGGGATGAATGATGGGAACGAGGCAAATTAGGCAGCTGGAGCGGATGCGGTACACGCAAGCAGAACCACTCCCTCCCCTCCAAGTTTTCCTCTTGGTATCCCCCCGTGGGACCCTCACCATGAATTGCGGATACAGCACAAACTCCTGGGGGAAGGCGAACGACGTGGGGTCATCCTTCCGGTAGCTGCCGAATTTGGACGAAAGCTTGATCTAGGGGCACAAGGAAGAGAGAGGGAGTGCAGGAGAGGAAGGGCAGAGTGAGGAATGGGGAACCATGGGATGGCGGGACTCGCGGGGAAGTCCTGCATTGTCACACAACGTGCGAGCACGTCTGCTGGAAAGAAGCTCAGCCCGGGAGACAAGGAAGAGAGAGGGGCGATAGACAGGGAGAGAGAGAGGGAGAGGGTGAGAGAAAGGGGGGGCACATACCAGGGAGCGATCAACCCAGCGGAGGACGTCGTGGACGGTACCTTCCTCGTCAGATTCTACAGAAAGCGTGACGGGGACAGAGAAGAGGAATTAAGCCGCCATCCACAATATCAAGGGCGAGGCGAATCGATTTTAAAATAAATACTACCACCTCCTCTTCTTTTGCCTTTCCCCCCACGCTCACCCCCTCTCTCCCTGATCCCGTCCTGTCTTACCGGTCCGTTGCACCGCAATGCGCGTCATCAACACGCAGGCTGCCTCTTGGTCGAAGGAGCGAGCGACCGGGCCCATGTCTACAGAGTCGTTGTGCCAGGCTTCAGAGAGGGAGGGAGGGAGGGAGGGAAGGAAGCAGGGAAAGGGTGAGGACGGGTTGAGATGAAAGGTCATGAAAGCGCGAGACAGCCACGTGCATGCATGATTCTCTCCGTCGACGGAGAGCCCTTCCTCACTCCCTCCCTCCTTCCCTCCCTCGCTCCCTGCGCCCCGCTGTACCCACCTCCGGAATAAGTCGTGGTTCGCAAACGGAAACGGCCAGAGGCGTGTTGGTATTGGGTAATAAACTAGTGGAAAGCAAATTAAGGGGAAAAAAGAGGGATTGGGGGTGGATAAACAATCTGCTGGCTCAAGAATGCACTATGACCCTCATTGCGGACAGAGACGGGACAGGGAGAAGCAAAGAGCCCGCGAAAGAGGAAGGGAGGGAGGGAGGGAAGGAGGGCGGGGACGAAGGAGACACCTACCTGGATGAAGCGGCGTTTGGAGGGAGGCAGCGGGTTGTTGGCTGCGTTGGTGACCTCGAAATACACGGCAATAGTAACGGCTGGATCGATCCCGCCCATGCTCCATGCATTCGTCCCTGCGAGGGGGAGATCAAGACAGGACGGAGGTAGAGAGGGAGGGGAAAAAGGGTCAGCAAGGGGGCTGCTGTCATTCTGTCCTCCAAACGAGGTGACAAGGATGCAGTGAAGGAAGTGGGGTGTGTGTGGGAGGGGATCAATGACGCCTTAGGATTCTCCGCGAGGCAGGAAAGACAGGAAAATTTCTTCGAGATAATCTCAGCGGATAGTCAAGGAAAGGAAAAAAGGTTGGATCCTCTCTGGGATGTGTGACCACTGTACCTGGAAATTAGCCCCCCGCCCTCCCCACCTCTTTTTTTATCTCCCACCCCACCACATACCTCCTTCCCCTATCGCTGTCTCCGCTACATTCGGCGCCACTTTCCTCAGAGAGGAACAGGGGCCAATGGCACCCGCGACCTTGAATTCCCGCGAGGTCAAGACCTGATAGGAGAGAGGGAGGGAGGGAGGGAGGGAGGGGAGGGAGGGAGGGAGGGAAGTCAGGTCGACCTTACTCTGAGAGGCCGGGAAATTTCTGGGGAAAATGTTTTTTAAC